GCGAACGGGCCCGTGTCCTACCCCCTGGCGGCTCCTTTTAGGGATGCTGAAACCAGCGCCCCGCCTGAGACATCCTCACAATCTGCTCTCCAAGCGAAGGATGTTGAGCATGACAACAAGCAAACCGCCTGAGACATCCCCACAAAATGGCCGCGAACGGGCCCGTGAAAACACCCTTGGCGGCTCCCCTAGGGGGTGCTGAAACCAGCGCCCCGCCTGAGACATCCTCAAAACCTCCTATGACAACCAAGGATGCTGAGCATGAGAACGAGCAAACCGCCTAAAACATCCCGACAAGCTGGCCGCGAACGGGCACGTGCAAACACCCCTGGCGGCTCCCCTTTAGGGATGCTGAAACCAGCGCCCCGCTTGAGACAGCCTCACAATTTGTTCTGAAAGCGGAAGATGCTGAGCATGACAACGAGCAAACCGCTTGAGACAGCCCCACAACATGGCCGCGAACGGGCCAGTGCAAACACTTTTGGCGGCTCCCCTTAGGGGTGCCGAAACCAGCACCACGCCTTAGACATCCTCACAATTCGCTCTCCAAGCGAAGGATGTTGAGCATGAGAACAGGCAAACCGCTTGAGGCATCCCCACAACATGGCAGCGAACGGGCCCGTGCAAACACCTTTGGCGGCACTCCCTTAGGGGTGCTGAAACCAGCGCCCCGCCTGAGACACCCTCCAAATCTGATGCGCGTCGAATAAGTCAGACTACCAGAAGGTCTGAGTATGCGTAGATCTGAGTATAAATGAATCTGATCATGCGAATGTCTGAGTATGAGTAAGTCTGAGTATGACTAGGTCTGAGTATACGTGAATCGGAGTAAGAGTAAGTCTGTGCATGAGTAAGTTTGAGGAGGAAGAGAGGAAGGATGAGGAGGGATGAGAGGAGGGGTTATGGTTATGGTCGGAGTCGGCGCCGCCGAAATAATTACTCATTGCGTGGAGCTCCCCATCTGTGCATGTCGTGTTTCATGTCATGCCACAGTGAGCGTCTGTTCATGATCGCTTGACTATAATAGCGCGTCCACGTGGGCGACAGGGCCGACGAAGACGAGTGAAATTTAATGCGAGTGAGCGAGTATGAGTAAGTGGGAGCTTTGTGTATGATTGAATGTGAGCCTCCCATTCACTACCCCTCCTCAGTATTCTGGCCGCGGACGGGCCCGTGTCCTACCCCCTGGCGGCTCCCTGTAGGGGTGCTGAAACCAGCGCCCCGCCTCAGTCATCCTCACAAGCTGCTCTAAACGCAGACGAGTCTGCCCACCAAAACAGCCACACCGCCTGAGACATTCCCATAAACTGGCAGCGAGCGGGCTCGTGACAACACCCCTGGCTGCTCCCCTACGGGATGCTGAAAGCACCAAAGCACCGCCTGAGACATCCTCATACATTGCGCTAAACGCAAACGAGTCAGCCCACCAAAACAGCCAAACCGCCTGAGACATCCCCACAAACTGGCCGCGAACGGGCCCGCGAAACCACCCTGTCTGAGACATCCGCAAAACCTCCTATGACAACCAAGGACGTTGAGCATGAAACCGAGCAAACCGCTTGAGACATCCCCACACAAAGGCCGCGAACGGGCCCGTGCAAACACCCTTGGCGGCTCCCCTTTAGGGGTGCTGAAACCAGCGCCCCGCCAGAGACACCCTCACAATCTGCTCTAAAAGCAGAAGGTGATGAGCATAAAAACAAGCAAACCGCTTGAGACATCCTGGCAAAACAATGCAAATACCCCTGGCGGCTCTCCTTAGGGGTGCTGAAACCAGCACCACGCCTCAGACATCCTCACAATCTGCTCTCCAAGCGAAGGATGCTGAGCATGACCACAGGCAAACCGCTTGAGACATCCCCACAAACTTGCCGCGAACGGGCCCGTGCAAACACCCCTGGCGGCCCCGCCTGAGTCATCCTCCAAATCTGATGCGTGTTGAGCAAGTCAGACTACCAGAAGGTCTGAGTATGCGTAGGTCTGAGTATGAGTAAGTCTGATTATGAGTAAATCTGTGTATGAGAAAGTCTGTGTATGAGTAAGTCTGGGTATGAGTAAGTCTGAGTATGAGTGAGTCCGAGTAGGAGGAGACGAGAAGAGGAGGGGACGAGAAGAGGGAGAAGGAGGAGTAGGAGGCGTCCAAGTAATTGCAGGAACCCCATCTTAGGATAGCGAGATTGAGTATGAGTAAGTCCGAGTATTACTTGGTCTGGGTATAAACGAATCTGAGTATTAGAAAGTCTGAGTATGAGTAAGTCTGAGTATGACTAGGTCTGAGTATACATGAGTCTGAGTAAGACTAAGTCTGTGCATGAGTAAGTTTGAGGAGGAGAGGAAGGAAGAGGAGGGAGGAGAGGGGTTGTGGTTCTGGTTGGAGTCGGCGCCGTCCAAGTATTAACAAAAAACCCATCTTAGGATATGAGGAATAACAATAACCCCATCTTAGGATATGGGGAATAACGCAATTGGAAATCCAGTCGCTAAAGCTTCTTGAAACATATCCTTGTGAGACAAATGCTCATGGTATTCCGACAAGTCCAACAACCCACTAACAGCAACAAAACCCTTGAGGCGAGCAGATCTCTGGATTATATTGTGAACATGGCCTGCACGATCGCAGGTAAGTCCAGAGGATCCCCAACACGCATCATTATCAAGCGAGAGCTCCCACCTCCTGGCAACTGCCTGCCTGAGACGGGACCAAAACCGCCCCCAACGGAAGTGAACATGATGGGGCGAATTCCGCCAGGATGGGCAGGCTTGCCCATGAAGCATACAGGCAGGAGCCAAAGGTCCAGAGCCTCGGGGTCCTCCTCCCACTTGAGCAGGAGGCCCACGCAAGCGATCTTATAGTGGACGGGGATCCACAGAAGCTGGCGAGGAGGAGGAGGAGGAGGAGGAGGAGGAGGAGGAGGAGGGGGATGGAGGTGGAGGAGGAGGAGGGGGATGGAGGTGGAGGAGGAGGAGCCCCACACTAGCGGGACAGGACGACGGCACCCGGACAAGACAATCAATGGTGACAGCCGGCAGCGTCTCCCAGGGATCCAAACCTCCCGAGACTGCCCGGCGAACGTGGCCAGAACGAGGGCCGCCAATGCGGGTTGGGGGCGGGGAGGAGGGGGAAGGAGAGGAGGGGAGGAAGGAAGAAGAGGAAGAGCGGCCGAAATAGCCGGACACCCAGCTGCAAGTACTTCGGCCGCTGCACAGGACGCCGAGCCATCCGTTGGTTCAGGGCCAGAGAGAACGGCGGCCAACTCAGGCCCCCAGTCTCGCGGGTGATGTTGCAAAAGGAGATCCACTGACCTCTGGCCAACAGCTGGCATAGCAGGATGTTCCGCATCCTCTGGGGTGGAAATCTGCGTGGCAGGAGTTGGTTCACGAACAAACTGATAGGCGGCTCTACCACCTTGCTGCTAGCAGCGCTCTTGGCCCAAGCCCGCCAGGCCGAACTGCGTATCTCTCGGTCTGGTGCCTGGAGGCTATCGACATGGCCCCTCACCCCCTCCAGAAAAGCAAGAGCCGCCCGACCGACCCCCCCAGTGAGCGCAACGAGTCGGAGGTGGATAGACCTCCTACCCTGACACGTCGATGAAGGATTTGGCCGTTTTCGGTTCGCGAGAGGGCGTCGCGGCCGTCGTTTTTGCGGGTCCAGGTCCGTCGGTTTCGGTCCCAGGCCGTTTTCTTTGAGGGGAGGTTTTTACTAAGGGGAGGTTTGTCCACCGCCGAATGGGGTCATCCACGGGCTTCGAAGCCAGCGCGCTCCGGGGGCCGCCCGCCTGCCAGTCAGCGGAGATGCGGCGGCAGGTCTTGGCCTGCCTGTTAAACGCTGCTGAAACTACGTACGGTAGGTTCGCGTCGTGTCGACCGGCGGCGACCCCGCCGCGGGCGTTCGAGGTTGAACGCCGCCAGTGGCCCGGAATCGGACTAAACGGAACGATCGGGTGATCGGAAAGCCGCCGATCGTTCAAGATTGAACGATCGACGCGGTGTCAGAAACCAACGCCAGGGTCGTCACGACACGAACCTGCCGTACTGATGTTCCGCTCCTGCCTGCTGAACCCGACGGCGTGGAGACGCATGAGGGCAGAGCAGAACGGGGGCCACTGGCGGTGCTTGAGCGAGGAGCCCCCGGCGCAAGTCCTGCTGCCAAGCCGTCTCGAGAGGGGGGCTCTCGATTCTGAGGCCCTTGCCTCGCCCAGATCAGCTCGACTGGCACCAGGACTGTATGTCGCGAATGACAATCAAGTGCGATCCAACATGAGGGAGCCAACACTCGCAGGAGGAGGAGGAGGAAGAGGAGGAGGAGGTGGAGGAGGAGGGAGGAGGGAGGAGGGAATATCGTCGCATTCGATGATCAGCACTTTCCTGGCGTGGCGTTTAGTTCCGCAGCAGATCCTCACGTACAGGCTCCGTCAACCTGTCCTATGCACGCAGGCGCTGTGGTGTACAATAGCGCTAGGTTGCACGCGGATGCTGTGTTGTAGACAGGCGCTGTGGCGTGCACAGGCGCTGCGGTGCACGCAAGCATTGTGGTGTACACAGGCGCTGTGTTGCACATGGTTGCTGCGGTGTGCACATGTACACTGGCGCTGTAGTGTACGCAAGAATTACGTTGTACACAGGCGCTGCGTTGTACACGGTTGTTGCGGTGTACGCAGGCGCTGTGGTGTACACGCGCGCTGTGGTGCACGCGAGCGTTGTGGTGTATACAGGCGCAGTGGGGCAGATCGCCACCTACATGCTGCTCGCGTCGTAGTAGTCGTCGTCGTCGTCGTCGTCGTCGTCGTCGTCGTCGTCGTCGTCGTCGTCGTTGTCGTCGCTTGTCGCTTGTCGCTCGTCGCGTCGTGCGCGCGGGTGCGGCTGTAGTGCCGGAGCTACACGGCAGGGGGGGCGTTACGTCATACCCCCTTCCGCGCTCGCCCTCCCATCTCGCCCGTCATCGCCGAACATACAGAAACGCGCTCTACGTTGAGCACTCTGGGGAGTACAGTGCGCCGGAGGTTGTGGAGGAGACGGAGACTTTGATTGCGAAGCTGGTGTCGAGAAAGCAGATGAGGGATGGTCCCTCGACAAAAAGAAGGAGCGCTTTCGTGTTCCTCTGTGATTTGCGCTCTTGGAGCACATATGTGGATGCCGTCAGCAGTTCCGTCAAGACAGTGAAGCAACCAGCTGGGTTGCGAACGGCACTGTGGAAAGGAGTAGATCCAACGGCGTCTTGTTTCTATGACAGTATTTAGGGCCTCTGTCCAAGTGGAGCCCGATGCAGATATGGTAAAGACCTCCTGCCGGTGCCGCCGATCCAGGACGATCTTGCTGTCAGAAGGACGCTTTCGCCCCAGCGCGGGGTGATCTTTTCCCTTCTCCACGCTGTGCTTCAGTTTTCTAGGCAGTTAAAAAATCTGGGTCCGAGACTTTCCGCATCCTTATCGTTCCCTCCTTGTCCCTCCTCCTTCCCCCGTGGCCCTCGTGCATCTTCGAGGCCTTGGAAGTGATTGTTGAGCCTCTTGGGGGCCTTTTGGGGGTTTCTTGGGGGGCATGCAGGAGGCATCCTGGGGGTGTGTAGGAGGTAATTTTTAAGCCTTCGGGGGCGCTTTGGGGCGCCTTTTTGGGGCCTCCTGAGTGCCACTTGGAGCCTCTCGGGGTTTCTTGGGGACTCCTAGGGCCATTTTGGCGCCTTGGGCGCCTCTTGGGCCGTCTTGGGCCCTTCTGGGGCCGTCATGGAGCCCTCTTGGGCGCTTCTTGGGTCCGTCCTGGGGCCCGCTTGGGCTGTTTTGGGGGCCTCCCGGGCCGTCTTGGGCCCTTCTTGGGCCGACTTGGGGCCCTCTTGAGGGCCTCTGGGCCTGTTTTGGGCGTCTCTGGGGCCGCGTTGGGCACTGCGAAGGCCGAAGAAGCAAACATGCAAACAAAATACGTTTTCCTGAGGGGATGGGACATATTTTCCGTCTTTGGGCACTCTTAGGAAGTGTCGGGAGGGCACGTTGGAGGTTTCTGGAGCCGTCTGAGGAACATATTGGGTGTCTTGGAGCGATATTTCGGCCACTCAGGGCGTTCTTGGGCCGTCTGGGCGGCCGCTGGGTTTTTTATGAGCCCGCGTTCGAGCTCTCCTGGGCGAGGGGCCGACCCGGAGTGAGGTGGAGCCCCGATTTTGCCACAAACTGACTCGAACCCCCCCACTCCTACCCCAGCAGAGCCACCCCGGCACCCACCCCCCCAGCAGAGCTGAAGCTCAAGAACTGAGTCTCAGGCTGTATCTGAGGGTCTTTGAAACTCACCCGCCGGATCGGCGGATTGGACGGGTTTGGATGGACTTGGGATTCATTCAAGGAAGAAGTTGGCACCATTCGGGCGTTAGCTCCTGTATCCTTCCACTTGCTGAGCATTTTTCGTGTTTGCGCAGCGTTGGTGTGGAGGGCTTGGACATTTTGCCCAATATGTTGTCCCAACAATTCTGTGTTGAGCTGGGTTATCGTTTTGAGTCCGCAACGCCCCGCGTCTCACTCCTTCTCCTTCTCCTCCTCCTGCCGCTGCTCTCCGCATGTACATGTCGGCACATCCCTCACGCCCTTCGCGACCCCATAGGGAGCTCCAACTAATGCCCGAATGCCAAGGACCACATGATGGCGCCGCCTAATTTCGGCACACCCGTCACACGTCTGGAGACCCTATCGGGTGGGTCGAGCGGGCGGGCCTTATCGGGCGGGTCGGGTCTGGCGGGCGGGGCAATCAACTCAATTGTGCATGCAACATGATGCGTGAGAACCCCACAGGGCGGGCCGGGGCGGGCGGGCCCCGTCGAGCGGGGCGGGGCAGGGCGGGCGGGCCCTATCTGGCGAGTCGGGGCGGCGGGCCCTAACGGGCGGGTCGGGTCGAGCGGGCGGGGCGCCGACATGTTTATTGCGCATGCAGCGTGACACATGAACACCCTAACGGGCGGGTCGGGTGGGCGGGCCTCATCGGGCGGGTCGGGTCGGGCGGGCGGGGCGCTGGTGGGAATTTGAGGGCGTGGTGTCCCAAGAGCACAGAGATCGCAAATGCTGAGGGTATCCGCGGGGGACTTGGGACGGGGGCAGATCTGGGCCAGGAATTGCTGGGTGGGGGGGTGCGAGTACACGGAAATCCCAAGGGTTCAGGGTGTCGGCGGGGGGCCTGGGGCGGGGTCAGATATGGACCAGGACTTGCAAGGTTGGGAGGGCCAAAGAACACAGATCCCAGGGGTTGAGGGTGTCGGTGGCGGACCTGGGGCGGGTTCAGATTTGGGCCAGGAATTGCAAGGTGAGGAATCCCAAGAACACAAATATCCCAAGGGCTCAGGGCGTCGGCGGAGGGCGTCGGACGGCGGGGTCAGATCTGGGCCAGGAATTACAGAATTCGGGCCCCCCGAAAACCAGGGGAATTGCAGGGTGGGGAGTTCGCGAGAAACAAATCCCAAGGGCTCAGGGCGTCAGCGGGGGACTTGGGACGGGGTCAGCTCTGGGCCAAGAACTGCAGGGTTGGGTGGCCCCAACAGCACAGATGCTCCAGAGGCCGAGGGTGTCGGCGGGGGGCCTGCGAAGGGCTCGGACTCGGGCCGGGAGTTGCAGCGTTGGGGGTGCCCCGGGAGCACAGAGGTCCCAAGGGCCCAGGGCGTCGGCGGGGCACCTGGGACGCGGTCAGATCCGGGCCAGGAATTGCAGGCTGGGGTGTCCAGCGGCACAGAGCCCACGGCCCGGGGCGGGTGTGACCTGGGACGGGGTCGGTAGGGAACCCCGAGAGCACAGATCCCAGGGGTTCTGGGCGTCGGCGGGGGGCTTGGGGGACGGCGGGTCAGATCTGGGCCAGGAGTTGCATGGCTCGGGAGCCCCAAGGAACATGCCAGGAATTGCACGGTGGGGTGGGGAGGTCCCGGGAACACAGATCCCAAAGGCTCAGGGTGTCAGCGGGTGACTTGGGACGGGGTCAGATCCGGGCCACGATTGCAGTTTGGGGAGGTCCAACAACATACATATTCAAGGATCCTGGGTGTTTGCGGGGGAGCTGGGACAGGGTTTGATCCGTGTCAGGACTTGCAGGATGGGGGGTCCCAAGAACACACAGTCCCAAGGGCTGAGGGTGTCGTCGGGGGACCTGGGGCAAGGTTGGTTTGGGCCAGGAATTGCAGGGTGGCGTGTCCAGAGGACGGCCGAGGGCGTTGGCGGGGGTCCTGGGGCCGCGTCTGATCCGGGCCAGGAATTGAAGGGTGGGGGGTCCCGAGAACACAGAGATCCCAAAGGCTCAGGGTGGTGGGTCAGGGTCTTTGCCAGGGCAGGAATTGAGGGGTGGGGGTTTCCAAAAACAGAGCTCCCAGAATGCTGCGGGGGTCGGGCCAGGTGGGGGGTCAGGGTTGGTGCTGGGGCAGGACCTTGTCGGGTGGGAGGTCCAAAGAACGGAACTCCGAGGATAGTGCCGGTGGATGATGATCCCACGGTGGATGCCAGGCCACGATGCGGGGCGCGGTGAGGGCTGGGGGGGGTTCAACCCTGGGACAGGGTCGGATGCGGGCAGGAATGGCTCAGTATTGGCGGCTCTAACAAGCGTTATTCCTCACACGCTTCTGGGGTCGGCGGATTCGCTCTCCGCGGCAGGCGTAAGATCACAGGGCCAGCTCGCCTTGGGCTTGCACCCCCACCCATGACAGTATTGACCATGAGGGTCTTCTTCTCCTTTCCCCGTCCACCGTCTTTCGTCTTTGGCAGAGAGGATCCCGCTGCTGTTTCCCTGGCCGTTCAGTCGCACGGCGGTTTTCTGCCCTCTGTGTTGGGCCATGCCTTTGACGCTGCTGCCCCAGCTGGCCTCCCACAGTGCTCTCGTCGTGCTTTCGTCGTCTTCTGTGCCCGCCTGCGACCTTATGTCAATGCCTTCGCTTCGCCGTCCTGCACGTCTCGTGTTTCACCTTCTTTCGTTCGGCCCTCCGTCGGGACCCTTGCTCGAGCGCTTGCGCCACACGTGTGTAAGCAAATAGCAAATCATGTAGCACCGACGCATTCGATGTGATCGTGTTGCACATGGCCCGGGGATGTGTGTGTGTGTGTGTACGTCTGTGTGTCATTATGTGTAGGACCTTCTGTGTTTTGCTCGTGTCCACAAGTGTGGATTAATATTCTTGGCAGTGACCCTGATCGATTTTTCACTGCTGACTGTAGCCCAGTGGCGCGCCGATTGAGGGTGTGTGTGTGTGTGTGTGTGTTCTGTGTGTGTGGGTGTCTGTGTTCGTCGCGCTCAGGCTTGCCTGGGCATGCACTTCGCCGCGCGTCTATCTGTTATGGCATGCTGGTACGGTACGCTTGCCGGTGTCAGAGGTTGGACTTTGCCGCAGTTTCGGTGGCGCAGTCGAGCTCTCATCCTGTCTTCTGCTCAAACACACTGGCTTCCAGTGGTGCTGCAGCCACAAGAAGAAGGGCTGTGACGCGTCCACTAAGTTCACGGTGCTGTCGCTTTCCGCCCAGAAGTGGAGATTCATTGCAAAGCAAAGCAGAATTGAGCCCAGCTTTCGGGACTCCTTTACGGTACGGTCACGCCGTGTCGACGAGAGAGCGATCCAAGCGTGGGCATTCAAGGTTGATCGCCGCCCAATGGCCTAGAATCGGCTGGCATCGAGCGATGGGCGCTATCGGAAAGCTGCGACCCTCATGGCTGAGTGATCCACGCGGTGTCAAGAACGAACTCCGACGTCGTCACGACACGAATTTTCCGTGGGGCTCTTCAGGAATGTTTTTTCGCGCACTCACACTCCGTACACGCAAGGTGGAACCAGGGCCAGGGGCCCGGGGGCCAGTGCCCTGACCATAAGTGGGGGTGCCTGGAGCGGGCCGCCACTGCTGGAACTCCCCAAGATCGCTTTGGAGTGCGGCAGGATAGCTCCCAAGGCGTCCGAAGACGGTCCCAACACTTAGCGGACGTAGAACAGTGTAACATAAACTTTCCACTGCCAGGGACGCTTGTCCCAGGGCGGTTAGAAAGTTTATATTCCTACGGTGTCACGTCGGGCTTTCGTTTGCTAACGCACGGCCCAATATGCCCGCGCGGCGGCAAGGATGACTTGAAGACGGTTCGGGAGAGTTCCACGTTTGCTTCAGAAGTTCCGAAGGCGCACAACGAGTAGTCCAAGAGAACTCTCACGAGGCTCCTGAGAGGCAACCGTAATGTTGTGTCCAAGACGTTTGAATGTTTTTAGCATTTTCAGCGCTTTAGTTTCAACCGCGTCCGATACGGTTCCAGAGGTCCCCAATCTAGCCTTAAGACTTTTTCAAACGGCCCCATGAACGACCCCAGCTTGCTACACGACTGCCCGATAGCGCCCCACTGTGGCCCTTGTGGTTGTCAGGCCTCTGTCAGCCTCTCCTCCTCCTGCGCCTCTCTCTGTGCTCTCTCGTGCGCCGCCACATCGGCTCACAAGGGCCCTCGAGCTATCATGGCGCGCCGGTGACGGACGCGCCCACGCCTCCGTAAAAGGAACGAGAACATGTTCTCTTCTAGCACGGGTCCCCCTATTTGTACCTCCTGTCTCTCTGTATCCATGCAACCACTCCCGCACAGTCCACAGTGGCAGCGGGGCCTCTGGTTGCGGGCGATCATCGTGCAACGTTGATCGCGGTCACGAGAGCGGAGCGGGCGCCCCCCACCTCGAGCGCCGCACCCGTCGTCGCGGCGCAACGCGCCGCGCCGTTCGGCGTCCGCGCCGAGATTCTGCGGCAGGCGATCATCGTGCAACGTTGATCGCTGTCGCGAAACAGCGGGGCGGGCGCCCCCCGCCCCAGCCCCCATGCATGGGCGAAAGGAACGGGGCGGCGCGCAACGCGCAGCGGCGCGGGGCGACGCGAGCCCGAGCGATGGGTTCGGGGCGTGGCGAAGTCTGCCCTCCTTGCATGGGCGAGCGCGCGAGGGGGCGCGTGCGCCGCCCAGGGTTGGGAGGGGCGCCGCGCGCGCTCGGACGGGGGGGGGGCCCGCCACGTTCGGCGGGGGGCACCTGCGGTGCGGCTTCTGGGCCATTCCACCGTGGCCGCGCGTGCGGGCGTCATCGCGCGTTTGTCCAACTCTATTCTGCACGTGCGTGGCGTGCGTCTTGCGCCCCCTGGTGGCAGTATTTTGACCGCGTGTGTGGCGCGTTGTATGAGCCCGCTGGTGGCCGCGTTTGAGCACGTGTGAGGCGTGTCTCTTGGGCCCACTGGTTGCCGCGCGCGTGCGCGTGTGCGGCGCGTCTCATGGGTCCACTGCTGGCGGCCGCATTTTAGCGCGTGTGACGCGTGTCTCTCGGGCCCGCTGGCGGCCGCGGTTGAGCGCGCGTGAGGCGTGTCTCCTGGGCCCATTGGTGACCGCATTTGAGCGCGTGTGAGGCGCGTCTCTCGGGCCCACTTGGCGGCCGCGGTCGAGCGCGTGTGAGGCGCGTCTCTCGGGCCACCGGTGGCCGCGTTTGAGCGCGTGTGAGGCGTGTCTCTTGGGCCCACCAGTGGCCGCGGATGAGCGCGTGCGAGACGTGTCTCCTGGGCCCACTGGCGGCCGCAATTGGGCGCGCGTGAGGAGCGCCATTTGGGCCCGATGTTGGCCGCGGCTCAGCGAGCGCGAGGCGTGTCTCTCGGGCCCACTGACGGCAACGTTTGAGCGCGTAGGAGGCGCGTCTCTTGGGCCCACTGGCCGCGGTCGAGCGAGTGCGAGGCGCGTCTCTTGGGCACGCGCCAGGCGCGCCTCCTGGACCTATTGGCGGCCGCCGTTGAGCGCGCGCGAGGCGCGTCTCTCGTGCCCACCTGGGCGGCCAGATTTGAGCGCGCGTGAGGCGCGTCTCTCGGGCCCACTGGCGGCCGCGGCCGAGCGCGTGCGAGGCGTGTCCCGTGGGCCCGCTGGCGGCCACATTTGAGCGCCCGTGAGGCGTGTCTCTCGGACCCACTGGCGGCCGCGGTTGAGCGCGCGCGAGGCGTGTCTCTCGGGCCCACTGGCGGCCGTGGTTGAGCTCTCGCGAGGCGTGTCTCCTGGGCCCATTGGTGGCCGCAGTTGAGCGCGCGTGAGGCGCGTCTCTCGGGCCCGCTGGCGGCCGCGGTTGATCGCGTGCGAGGCGTGTCTCCTGGGCCCGTTGGTGGCCACATTCTCGGGTCCACTGGCGGCCGCGGTTGATCGCGCGCGAGGCGTGTCTCGTGGGCCCAATGGCGGCCGCCGTTGAGCGCGCGCGAGGCGCGTCTCTCGGGCCCACTGGTGGCCGCACTTGAGCGCGCGTGAGGCGCGTCTCTCGGGCCCGCTGGTGGCCGCGGCCGATCGCGTGCGAGGCGTGTCTCTCGGGCCCACTGGTGGCCAGATTTGAGCGCGTGTGAGGCGCGTCTCTCGGGCCCGCTGATGGCCGCGTTTGAGCGCGCGTGAGGCGCGTCTCTCAGGGCCGCTGGTGGCCGCGGTTGGTCGCGCGCGAGGCGCGTCTCTCGGGCCCGCCGATGGCCGCGGGCGGGCGCGCGCGAGGCGCGTCGCGCGCGTTCCCGCGCGAACGCCGCAGCGCGCGTCCGCGCAGAGACTCGCGGGGGGATGTCAGGCGCGTCGATCTTCGCCCAATGGCTTTGTGAGCTGGGCGTGATTTGTGGCGTTGGCCGCTTGTCTGCAGCGCCAAGCTTGTCGCGTTTCTCACATAGCAGGATTCGCTTCATTGGGGGCATCTGGCAGACGTCGATGCCGGCTCCAGGTTGCCTCAACTATCGCCGCGCAGCAGTGAAGTTGCGACAGGACGAAAAGCCCTCGGCCCGCTCGCCGCCGCGCGTTGCGGCCGCGCGCAGGGCCCTCAACGAAGCGAGGGTTCTGAGAGGCACGCAGGCTCTCGAGGGCGTCTCCTTCGGTCGGCGCAAGCGGCGCGGCGAAGCAGAAGCGGCGTCGCCCGCGCGCCCCCCGGCCGCGGGGGCCACGGCGGCGCGCGCCGAAAGGCAGGATCGCCCAGGGCCACGTCTCCCCCCCAGCAGTCGGCCCGCCGGCGCTGGCGCAGGCGTCGCTGCGCGCCCGCGGCCTCCTCCAGGACCGCCGCCAGTCCGGCGGCCGAGGCCCGGGGGCGCGGGCGGCGCGACGGCGCCAGGGCAATTGCGCGCGGCGCTGCGTCTTGGCGACGCGCAAGGCGAGCCTGCGGAGGGCTCGCGAGCTCCAGGAGCGGTCGAGGCAGTGGTCGAACATGTTTCTCTATGCGCAAACCAGTTGGCCGCGCCCGGCGAGGGGCCGCGGCGCGCCCTCCACGGCGTCGCAGTAATGGGCCCGCCCGACCGCCGGCGCTTCGCCGAGAGGGCTCGTTTGGACACGGCGTTTGGCAGTTGTCTTTTGTCAGTGCAGTGCTGGGCCTCCGCGGCGCGGTGGTGGTCGCGGTTCTCAAGGTGCGCCTTTGGGCGGGATTCCCCTTTCCCCCATCCCCATGGGCATCGCGAAGAGGCGCCCCCCGCCCCCGACAGCCAAACGTTTCGTGCAGCACGCCCTCCTTCCCAGAATCGTCGAAGCGAGCATGTTGGGCCTGGTGGCAGCATGTGTCAGGAGGGACGTGGCGATGGTCATGTGTTTCGGGTATGCGTTTCTGCTGCGCCTACCAAGTGAGGGCTTGCCCGCCGTTTTCGATGGCTCGGCATTAAGCGCGGCGCCAGGCGTCGGTGCGCCCCTCAGCGGAGGCGTTTGGTTTGCGTGCGCAGCGGCGCAAGAAGTCGGAATGACCGGTTGCAATTTGGCGCAAGTGCTGGCGCCGCACTGACGGCGGCAAAAGGATGCGCCCAGCGCGCGCCATGGGCGCATCACTCGAGAAAGCGGGCGTGGGCACGTAGATTTTTTTGCGAGCCCCCCCGGCTGACGCCGCGGCCGCCCTCCGAATTGCGGCCGGGGCGGCGGGCGCGGCTCGCCTGGGGGAGTTCGACGCAGAGGCGCTTCGCCACGGGCACGCGCTCGATTTTGTTGAGCGCGGGGCCGGCCTGGCCGAGATGCTTCGCGCGGGCGGTTGGCTCAGCGCTGCCTTCGCAGAGCGCCTGCCAGTGGAGTCCCTCGGGCGGAGCGCTGCTCTCGAGACAGGGGGGGTTTGCTCTTCCGACAGCGATGCGCGAGGAAAAGAGACTGGGCTCCATGCCTGCTGGAGCGCGCGCGCTGGCGTTCCGGCGGCGCGCGGCGCGCTTGGCCCGAGCCTGCGCGCGCGTGGCGCGCGCTGCTGGGCCGCCCGCCGAGCCCCGCAGCAGCGCGCTTTCGCGCTGGGCGCTCGGCTGGGCGGGCGGCGCAGGCGAGTGCCCGAGCCGCCGTCAGCTCGGGGCACCGCTGCGCGCGGCCAGGGTCGAGCGCCGCGCCCGTCGTCGCAGCGCCACGCGCCGCGCCGTTCGGCGTCCGCGCCGAGATTTTGCGGCGGGCGATCATCGTGCAACGTTGATCGTTGTCGCGAGACAGCGTGGCGGGCGCCCCCCCCCCGGCCCCCGTGCATGGGCGAAAGGCAGGGGGCGG